AGTCAAAGAAAGAAACATCTATCTATCTATTTGTCTGTCTGTCTGTCTGTCTGTCTGTCTGTCTGTCTGTCTGTCTGTCTGTCTGAGGAAACTTTCGCGCTCTCTTGCATTGCATGCATGCGAACTGTGCAAATTCATTTTTTCTTGCATGCTTTTTCAATCAATGGATGGGCTCAAATTGAATGACGCTACAATCAGTTCTTCGATGATTTTTCAGCCTCGTATGACATGTAAGGCATCGTGATGAAATCAGGCGCTCGTCGAAATAATGAAACTGAAAAAAACGGGCGTTTTTCCGTCAGTTTGGCAATTTTTATCAAATTTTTATTTTTTGCCTCATCACCTTTTTAAAATCGATATAAACCAGATTTTCCACTGAATTTGACTGAAACACGCTGTTTAAAAGCACAAGATAATGTACTTTTCAGTTTTCAAGGAGTCTCAAGCTGTTGAAGCTACCGAACTTTGGTTGCCATTTTCTCGTTTAACAGAAACCCGGCGACCTAACCTCCTTCAATAGCAAATATCTCAGCTTCTATTCAAAATAGATGGTTATTTCTTCATTGAAAGTACGGCAAATAAACAAGCTTTTAGATGATACCAATAACTTCACGGTACATGACTAAAAAGTTTCGAGCGAATGATTCTACTGCGTTGTGACACAAATGTATTTATCGATAACGTTTCCATCATGGTGTGACTCAAAGATAACGCAGAGATCAGGGATTGGCGCTCATATGACCTTATGCAGTTGCGAGTGCCGTAAAACCCTCTACTATATTTAAGAAAAAAGGAGATCAGGGATGGGCGGGAATATAGCGCGGGCTTTTTTCCTTCAATAATGAACTCACCGAAGATGCGGTGGCGGAGCGGTTAGTGCGCTCGTCTCCGAGGTAGAAAGTCCGGGTTCGAGCCGCGGAGAAGAAAAGATAGATAGATAGATAGATAGATAGATAGATAGATAGATAGATAGATAGAGAGAGAGAGAGAGAGAGAGAGAGATAGAAAGAGAGAGAGAGAGAAAGAGAGAGAAAGAAAGAAAGAAAGAAAGAAAAAGAGGTGGGGGAGAGAGAAAGAAAGAAAGGCTGTGGCGGATGGGGATTAGAGGGGAGCAGGGTGTAGGGACAGAAAGAGAAAAGAAAAAATC